GCGAGCCCCACGAGCCCTATAGACGAAGACCCCGTCTACTTGCCTGATCCGTACGCCAACCAGCCGGAACCCGTACCTCAGCAACAGGTGAACCACAACGCCGTTGGTGCTGGGGGTGGTAGTGGTACTCCTAGCGAGCTTGCGTTCGCACTGGGTCCGCAGGCTTCCGTCCGTGGTAGTGGTACCGGGTATGCGCTGCAGGATCCTGGGTCCATGTCCGCCATTGCCCCGCAACAACAGCAGCAGCAGACGCCGAGGCAGGGTTTCTCGCTCACGGATCCGGGTTTCGCGTCTGGTGCTGCCGGATTGGGAGTGGTGCCGAGCAGTCCCATAACAGGCAGTCCCGTAACAGCGACGGCGGGATACGCTGGTGCGAGCATGAGCGCAGGCGGTGCTGCTCCGAGCCCCGTTCCCGAGGCTGCGGCTGCTCCTGCGAGTACGCCATCATGGGTGCTGCCGAAGAGGACGCCGGGGAGTCCTCCGCTGAACAGCCAGTTTGCGGGTATGCATGTGTAGTGTCTAGATGTGGGACTGGGAGCAAGGGATGACGATGACGGACGATTATTCATTTGAATGGATGGAATAAAAGGCTCTGCTTTGCGATTACTTTTGACTTGCATATACAGCGACGTATGTATACCTCCTACACGCTTGTTTTTTTTTCCCATGTACCTGCATGTCTTTTTCTCTACATAATTTAACTCTGGAGTGAGAGCAATCTGCAAACAGATGTAAATTCTATTTGAATTCGCTTGCTTTCGACCTTTCACCAGCGTCCCGGTCATGTGCTTTTATCCTCTTCGATATCAGGCGCGGACCGGTGAAAAGTCTTGTCATCGCGAAATTCGAGTCATGGGACTCGGATTCTGCAGCTAGAAGCGGCGATTCGACAACCCCATGATCAGCAGAGCAGTAGGCGTTATAAAATGGGGGCCCGGACTCTGACGCAACGCAACGCATCCAAGATGTATTCCAAGATCTTGTTGGTGGCTCTCCTTGTGCGAGTTGTTGGAGGAGCTGGAGTCAGCTCGAGCAAGCCCGCGTTGTCCACCGGCGCGTCTTTGACAGTCTCTGCTGCCAGCAGTGCTTCGGCGATGACCACTGCGACTTCAACCCCAACCTCGGGTGCAAACTTCCCGCCCGTGGGCTCCATCCCAAAGGATTTCTCCCCCGCAGGCTTGGAGAAGCTGTGGGACCTTGTACGTCGTTATTGCAACTCGCACTCTCTCATCTTGAGCATTGCTCAAATCCAGGTCGGCCCCGTCGAGCCTCCACCCTTCACTACGACTGTTACGCCCACAAGCACCCGCGTAATCCTCCCCTCCCCGCCTCCGCCTCTCTACCCAACGTTCTACGCGCCTGCGCCCAAGGACGTGTTGCCCAACCTCAAGTTCCCGAGTGGCTTCAAGTTTGGTGTGGCTACGGCTGCGTACCAGGTGGAAGGCGCTGTCAAGAATGAGGGTAAGGGGCCGAGTGTTTGGGATTGGAATAGTCGGCAGCCTGGAGGGGTGATTGATAATACTACGGGTGCGTTTTAAGCTCTTCGCTCTGAGATTCTGTTCTTTTGCTGAAGGAGAAGGTACATTTAGGCGACGTGATTGACTTGAATTACTATCTGTACAAGGAGGATGTCGTACGGATTGCGGCGCTGGGGGTTACCGCGCATTCTTTCTCGTGTGTACGCTTCCCAGCTTGGGTTTCATTCTTTGACGACGGTCGTAGGATTTCGTGGGCGCGGATTTTCCCCTTTGGAACGGCGGACTCGCCTGTGAATCAGGAGGGGTTGCAGCATTACAGCGATGGTGAGTATTAAGCCTGGATGCCGATTTTCGTTCTCAATCCATCTAGTCATCGACTACCATATTCAGAATGGAATTGCTCCAGTCGCGACTTTATGTGCGTTGCGGCTGCCTCTGATAATGCTCAATGGCTGATTATACAGTCCACTGGGACACCCCGCTTGCGTTGTCGGCGTACTACGGAGGCTTCACGTCGCCTCAAGTCGTAGACGATTTCATCAAGTACGCCTTCCCTCAGTCTCGGGATTGATTCTGAATATACACACAGCTACGCAAAGACGGTCTTCAAGGCGTACAACGGGCGGGTGCAAACATGGTAAGGATGCTACGGTCAGTCGAAGAACGCTTGATGAGAACGGTCGTAGGTATACTTTCAACGAACCCGCAGTCTATTGTGGGCAGACTGCGGGGTATCCGTTCAGTGGGTCTCACAGAACCCATGATTATTTGCGCGTTGAGTTTATCTGGTAGATGCGACGCTGACTCCGGGCGTAAACGCGTCCATGGCACCGTATATATGTTCTTATCACGTCCGTGAGTCGTTTCGTTGTGAGTTTTATGCAGGCCACTGAGAGGTTTTAGTCAAAGCGCATGCTGGCGCCGTCAAAGGTGAGAGCACTTGTTTGTTGTCGAGGGTTGCTTACACCCACTAGCATTCAGAGAAATGAAAATCCAGGGCGAAATCTCGTTGAAAAATGATGATTTCACGTCCGTGCTCGTTTAAATTTCTTCCCTTCTTCCACTAACGGCCGTATAGCGGGATCCCATGGAGGTCAAACACAACCGAAGATGCCCTCGCCGTCGAACGCCATGCTGCATTCCATATCGGCGTCTTCTCCGACCCGTTGTACACCACGGGCGACTGGCCCACAATCATGACCGACACCCTTCCCCCGTCCTACCTCCCGCGCTTCACCGAGCAGGAGAAACAAGACAACCTCGGGTCTGCCGATTTTTTCGCAATCGACTCTTACAGGGAGTCGTGGATTGCTGCGCCGGACGACGGGTTGGCGGCGTGTGTGGGGAACATGTCGCATCCTTTGTGGCCGGAATGTCATTCTGTTGTGTTGTTTGATTCGAATGCGGGGTGGGCGGCGGGGATTTCGCCGGATCCGTTGTCCGAGACGTGGTTGCAGGCGACGCCGAATACTCTGCGGAGCTATTTGAAGGATTTGCAGACGAGGTGGCCGACTAAGAAGATGGTGCGTCAATTATTCGGGATAGAAGAGACATGCTGAAGATATTGTAGTATATCTCCGAGTTTGGGTTCGACGAGCCGTTCGAGGCGTTTTGGACAGATCTTTTCCGGATCAAGGAGGACGTTGCACGCACCAGTAGGCCTTCTATATTTGACATTCCACCGCATTCAATCGGCCTTAGACTACCTGATGACCTACCTCGGACAAATCCTCCTCTCGATACACGAAGACGGTGTTCCCATCCAAGGGGCTTTTATCTGGGGTGCGTTTTGCCCAACTATCTAATCCATTCTTTACTTGAAGAGTTCAGCCATGATGGACAACGCCGAATGGAACTCTGGTATCACAGCCAAATTCGGGATCCAGCACGTCAATTATACGACTTTGGAAAGGACGTATAAGCGGTCTGCTTTATCGCTGGGTGAGTTGGACTTGTTGCGTTTGCTGAGTTCTTGAACTCATTCGGTTTCGTTTCTATGAAAGCCGAGTTCTTCGAGGCTCATCTGCAGAGCTAAGCCGGAAGATTCGTACATATTTGAGAAATTCATACACAAATTCATACACAATGGTTATTTTGGTTATTTGACTTTGACTTTGTCCACCTCAGAAGCTCAGACGCAAACAGCGTTCTTGGGTCCCTCGACGACACACCCAAACGGCGACGCACAGTCCGCAAAGAGCACAAACTCCTCGCCGTTGCAGATGAAGATGTAGGCGTTGCCGCCGTTGACGGAGGGCGTGTTGGCGCAGCCGACGTCGCCTGGTATCATAAGTATGAGTGTCGGTGTAGTGAGATAGAGAAAGCTTAGAGAGCACGTACCGGCTCCGGATTCACCGCAAGGTTCGCCGACGTCCTGTGCCTTGGCAGCAACGAGGAGGGTAGCGATGAACGCGACAGCGGAGAAGAAACGCATGGTAAAGCTTGAAGAGGGCGGTAGCAGGCTGGTAAATTCAAGTTGCTGGTTTGAGTTGTTGAACGACCCACCTTTTATACCTACGACCTCGGATAAAAGTCTGCGCCTGACCTGAGCTGGTTTACACGAGCAAGGTCGGAATGACGAAACTAGGGAAGGGCGCGGACCGTCCCGCGACGGTCATCGTGGTAGGGTTCAAATTGAAATATCTGGGCCGTAAGATGTACTTTGCAACTCTGGATCTGTTAACAATAATACGTGCCTCGTTGAGTCGGATTCAAAGACCTCGAAGAGAATCTTGCTTGAACGCGAGACTCGTTAACGGCGGTCGAAGAACTGGCAAATAGGCCGCGAGTCCAATTGCAAAGAATGGACATGTCTTTTGAACAGCCATTGAGAAGCTGATAATGATTTTGCACCATGCCATATTCAACCCCGTTGTCGCCGGTGGTGGGGATGTCGAGAGAGTAAGTACTTAGAAGAACCCACTCCACGAGCGTCCCGCGAGTCTAGATTAGTGGCAACGCGGGATTGAATACAATATTAATAATTGCTGGGCGCATTGTGACCACGGAAGCTGCGGAATGAAAGATTTGAACCCAAGAAGCGGATAGTGCGGAGTGTACATACCTGTATCTCCCCCTCGCATTCACAAAAAGCTCCTTTGCCACGTACCCACATGAACATCCATGCCTTCATCTCGAAAGACCCGCAAAGCAGCAGCAACAAGCGAGAACCCGTCGATATCCCTCCGCTGCATGATTATTGTACTCCTCAATCACAAGATTCCGAAGGCACGAGAGAAGTTTAGGGCAGCGAGCCATGCAGGTGAGGCAGGGGTGGAGCTGAACGCGTCAAAACATCGAGCAGGTCTGAATTCTCTAGGGGTGGCAATCTTGGCTCACACGACGGGCAAAGGGGCCTACGCTTCGGTCTTCAGGGTTGCTTTCATATAGCCACGCTTCCCATCGCACGACTCGATGTCGATGTGTGACCTTCACTATCGCCAGGATGGCAACAAGACCAAAAAGATAAATGGAGGAAAGGCTAAATTGAAGGAGCGGGCAAAAGGGTAAATAAAGAGTCGATGGCCATCGTGGGGGTCGAACCCAAGACCTTCGCGTTAACAGGGTACTGTGATACGATATTAGCACGACGCTCTAACCAACTGAGCTAGACGGCCGACATGGCGCGGTGATTATTCCAACTTGGGGTATCCGACCCACCGTCTTGAACCTAGGTACATATCCAGTGCCACTAGATATCAACCACGATTTCGGCCAGCAAAGACTCGAGCAGGTCCTCCTCGATGATTGCAGGGCCGGCAGGATGAGAAGCCGAAGGATGGAGGCTCGGAATAGTGGCAAGTTCCCGGAGGATCCTCTCGGAGTCTTTCGAGAGGATCCTGCGGGAACGAGACACTCGTCAATGGCCGTCGGAAAACTGGCAAATGAGTCGCGAGTCCGAATGCAACGAACTGACATGTCTCTCGAACAGCCAGCTGAGGCGCGAATAATTCAGTGGTGGAGGATGTCGAGAGAGAGTACTTAAAAGAACCCACCCCACGAGCGTCCCGCAAGTCTGGATTCAGTGGAAACACGGGATTGAATACAATAATAACTGGACGGATTGTGACCACGGAAGCTGCGGGATGAAAGATTGGAACCCAAGAGGCGGATAGTGCGGAGCGTACACACCTACATTCCCCTCCCTCACATTCACAAGAAGGTGGTCTCCCTCGTACCCACATAAAAACTCATGCCCTCATCCCGAAAGACCCGCAAAGCAGCCGCCACAGTATCGTCCAAAACCTGTGTCCCCGTCACAACAAGTCGAAGGGACCTGAGCGACGAGTGTCGTTTGGCAAGAAAATCAAGCACGCGCGCATATCCCTCCGATACATGCTGGTAGAACTCTGAAATCGTAAGGCTCTGTAGGGCCGGGAGGACATTGGGGTCCATAGCCCACAGATCAAAGGACGAGTGGGTAGAGTCCGCGAACATCGTTATCTCGAGGTGCGTCAGCCCGGGAATGAGCTGGAGGCAGGCTGCGATGCCTTGACTGTGCGGATCCTCCGCTCTGAGCCGCAAGTTGAGATGACGCAGGGGCGGGGCGGAGCGCGTCAAGAAATCGAGCAGGTCCGCCTCGGTGATTTCGCGACGTGAGATGACGAGCGATTGCAGGGCCGGCAGGGTGAGAAACCGAAGGATGGAGATTTCGGAGTTGTACCAGTCTCCTGGGCGGCCGAAGTGCAGCCGTTGGAGAGTGAGGTGAGTGAGGTGTCTCGGCGTCGAGGCTGTATTGAATCGGACATCGTAGATGTCGAGGCGCACGAGATTCGGCGCACGGCGTAAGAGTTCCACGAAAAGTTTGGAGATGATGTCGGAGCGAGAGATATTCAAAGAGTTTAGGCCGTCGAAGGGATAGGTCATCCGTTCGAGGCTGTCGTTGTGCAACGGCGACAATTCCATGTGCTGGATTCGGGGTATGTGTGCTCCCAGAGTCTGGAGGATGCGGTGGAACGTATTCTCACCCTCGCGGAGAATCAGCGAGATTGGGAGGCCTCCTGCACGAGCAAGACACATCTTCAGCACCTTCGCGAATTTCCCTTCTGGGATGTCCTTGTCCGTGATTGTGCCCCACAGCGAGGGCGTCGCAAGGGCGAGGTCGTGCCATGCACGACACACGCACAGAAGTTTAATCAGAGATTGCCAGGTGCGAGTTGCCGGCATCGACTGGAGGAGGATATCGGAGGAGAGCTCTGGGGGGAGGCGCGCCATGGGATCGAGGAGGGAATTTAGCTCGGTCTGAATGCTGCTGCGCTGGCGAACGAGGTCTCTGAGGATCTCCTTCTGCTGCTCGATGGCTTCGTCGACCGCTCCAATGCGTCCGCGGAGCTCGTGAACGGATGAGGACATGGAGGCTTAGGACAAAGGCTGTATTGATCCGATCAACTTCAAGTGATGACGCCACTACATCTCTCTTTTCTTACCCGCTTGATGTTGGCTCGATGCTCCCTCACGATGGCTAGAAGTCTGATCGCGACACGGGACACAAGTGACGTCGACAAGGGCTAGGAAACACCTGTGCCACCCAGCTCCCGCATCGTCCGCTTCTGCCAGATCCTGCGTTTTCCGAAGAATTCCTCCTACCCAACTCCTACCCGAGAAGTAAATACTCCAGGAGCTCGTTGAGCCGGGTCTAGAGTTCCATGGAAGGGGGTAGTACCCAAATGGAATCAAACTGGCTCTCATTCGCTGCGTGCCTGTCGGCGTGTCTAGAATACTTATTTTTTTCTTCGGGTTGTATCACGCGTGCGTGTACTAGGTACTACACAGGGCACCCATCCATTGATGATTTTGTCCTCCATCCTCGTCTGCGCCGGCGCCGGGCCCTATCTACGCTCAGGGCAAGAGGACACACTCGGCGGCTGCCCTGCGAGAGAGTCATCTGCGGGTCGGGTGAGCGGGTTCCCTTTCTTCCGAGTCTCCACTCATAGACGAGGTTAAACAAGTACGCCCGGCGCACCGTTCATCCGGTTCTACGAAAAAAAATTATCAGCAAACTCGTGAGTGAAGGTTTGGTGAAGAACGTCTTGGGTTGGTCTTCGGTGTCAATTCGGTGCTCGTCAATCAGGTGTGCTTGCTTAGCGCTTAGTTTTGCGCGGCTACAGATGCTGGGGCAATACAACAAGTGCTCGAGATGGCCGTTGCCTAACTACTTATCTCGGTATCTACCGGAGGGCGAGTGAGCGAGGCAAAATCCCATGACTTGATGGCTCAAAATAGCTCAGTCCTTCATTCAGTCGCATCGCGAGCCGTTTTAGTGCCCTAATTCGTCTGCGTTCAGACTGCTCTGGTGTCTGTCATTGATGCTCTGAGCGTCATCACGAGTTCCTCCGCATACATCACGTCCTCGAACCTTGATTGCATTTTGAATTGGCCATGCTTTCGGCAAACAACCACGGAAAAATCTCCTCGCTCGCACCTGATGACCGCTCGCCAATCGGACCTTCGGCGTTGTTCAACCACGGCTTTTCAACGGTCCGCCAGCACACGAGCACCTCCCAGCACCTCTCATATCGCGCCAAGACTTTTTTTCCGCGGCCCGCACAACTCCCGCAGTTGAAGACAGGGTAACCGAGTGCTGGACGCTGGAAACGAGCGTTGCCACATGAGCACCCTGCAGATGGCTGAATTTCTCCACCACGGACCGTTGCTGGAGAATCCAGATGGGTATTAAAACACTCGCAGGCCGTCGTTCTCTCCTCAAGTCCAATGCCTTCTCTCTCCTCTTTCCTGCATCTGGCCGCCCTCGTCGCTGTCGCCGTGGCGACCCCAAATAACGGGACCGCGTCGAGAACGGAGACTGCAAAGCGCGCGACGTGTACCGTCAACAGCGTCGCCAGCGCTGCCAACCTCTCGAGCTGTACGACGGTCATCATTACCGCCTTCACCGTGCCATCTGGGCGTACGTCCTCTCTTGCGGCCCCAGTCGATGACTAACTGTGACTTGACCTCAAACAGAAACTGTCACTATCGCGGTAAGTTTGGATTTTGCTTGGTATAACTCGGTGCTAATTTTTCATCCCGAAGGCTGCGAGCGGCGCGAGTGTCACCATGACCGGCGACATCACCTTTGCCAAGACGACTTGTAGGTTCATATTTCTCATCTAACTGAGCGCTGCTGACGGAATAAACAGCCGCGGGTCCTCTGCTTACTTTCGACACCACAAACATCGTGTTTAATGGTGGGGACCGAAACATCAACGTGAGTTTCCTTCTTCCAAAAGTTTCGGATATTTAATGGTTTGACAGGGAAACGGAGCGATGTACTGGGATGGCCAGGGTACCAACGGCGGTGTTGCCAAGCCGCATCCCTTCGTCAAGTAATTAATTATCCTCTCTCTTGGTTGCATTCTCAACATCCTTGTTGTCTAGGTTCAAGGGCTCCGGAACCTTCGAGGACGTAACCGTGCTGAACTCGCCCGCGCAGGCCATCTCGGTAGGCACCACCGCGGCCACCACCATCTCAGGTATCACCGTCGACAACTCTGCCGGCGACGCCGGCGCGCTCGGACACAACACCGACGGATTCGACATCTCCGCCTCTTCTGTGACACTCGCCAAAGTGGTGGTGAAGAACCAAGACGACTGCATGGCGATCAACTCTGGGTCCAACATCGTCATCGAGGACTCGACGTGCTCTGGGGGACATGGTATCTCCATCGGCTCGATTGCCACGGGCAAGACTGTCAGCGGGGTGAAGATTGCTCGGAACACGGTTACGAATGGGTTGTACGGGTTGAGGATCAAGGTCGATGCGGATGCGACGGGTGCGAGCGTGTCGAATGTTACCTGGGAGGCCAACACGATTTCGGGCATCACCGGTGTGTATCTTCCTATTTCTCTCATCCCAACTTCTAATAACGCGCAACAGAATACGGAGTCCTCATCTCCCAATCATACCCCGACAACGACGGCACCCCGGGAACCGGCGCGCCCATCAGCGGCCTCGCATTCAACGGCGGCACCACCACCGTCAGCGTCGGCAGCTCCGCCAATACGCTCGTCGTGGACTGTGGTGCTTGTTCAGGGACCTGGGACTTTTCCGGCCTCCATGCGACTGGAGGTAAGGGGTCTATCATTGCTGCCAACAAAGCTACGGTGAGCACTCAGTTTGATTCGGCTTGAACAGGATGTTGACGGACGAGCGTAGATCTCGGGTGGCACCTATTAAGTAAAATTTGCGCGATACTTGTGTTTGAGACTGCGTTGTATGTATTGTACCTATCCGGCCTGAAATCGAGAAGATAATGCTCACCCGGCGCGCCCACGAGCCTTGAGTTGGATGACTGGAATGGAACCGTCGCCTTTCGATTGAACACTGAGCAAGTGAGGGAATGTGATAATGCTAACAGGTAATACAAGTGCAATAACAAGCTACTACATAGTACATACTAGTAGGGATGATTCTTTTCGTCCCCATAGTCAAGAAGTGCCGTATTCTGCTCTCACCGCAACCTCCTCTCATACTTTCGAAGACAGACGTTAATGCCCTCGTCTTGAAAGACCCGAAAAGCCGGCGGGGAACGATCGACCAAGAGCTCCTCCCGCACAACAAGACAAAGGGCCTTGAGCGAGGCGGGCCTCTTCGCGAGAAACTCGACAGCGCGCTGGTACC